GCTATCAGTTTCGCTTCCGACGAACTGCCGTATCAGCGGGCCGATAGGGTACACAGGCGGCCGGCCGGGCTCTGGCTGGCGAAGCACCTAGGCGACCTGCCGACCTCAGTCAAAGTCAATAAAGACACTGATAATATGATTAAAACGAAAAGAAAATCCGAGAAATGGTAGAAAATAGCAATTTGTCTTTCGTGCGAGTTGCAAAAAATGCAAATAAATTAGTTTATGTAGAACAAAAATGAGTAAATAAAAACTATAAAGAAATTAATATTCGGATCTCCAAACAAGTTGCGATTAGTAAAATAGTAGCTCAATTCATATTAGAAGTTACAATAATAGTTTCATTGATACCCATAAGTTTTATATATATATATATATATATATATATATATATATATATATATATATATATATATATATATATATATATATATATATACACACAAACACACACTCATACTCCATCCCAGTCTATTATTTTTGTTCAATTGATGCTTAGCTTATATATATATATGTATATATATCAAGTATATATATAAAATATATAATATATATATATATATTATATATATATACCTATATATATCAGTAACGTATAAAAAGTATCACCTTCATTGCCGATGTCGTAGGTGATACAAACACGTATAGCTCCTCATCACTGCCGGCTCGCCGTACGAACAGATGGTGAAGACTTTTTTCAAACTACTATATCAAACTTTTGAACAGACACTACTACAGATCTTGTCATCCCAAACGCCTCAATCACCGCCGTTTTAATTAAAACTGGCAGTGATGAGAGTATCACCACCAGGACGTAAGAACTAACGTTGGCATTAGTAAGTATCACTGCTGGTTCGCGTTACCAACCGGCGGTGATAGTCTATCATCATCGCTTAGCCGGTTTGCACCACCAACCGGCGGTTATGATATGCTCCTCGTCATTGCTGGCTCGTTGTACGAACCAATGGTGAAGATGTTTTTCACCGCCAGCTTATTGTACGATACGGCGGTGATAACTATGCTGCTGCATAATAAAATTCTTAACTTTTTTTAAATAAATTTGGATGAAAACAAAGTTTATATTAAAGTTGTGGATCTCGACGATACAACTTTTTAGTTGACGTTTTCATTTTAAATCATTTATGGTCCTTGAATTCTATTTAAAGCTTTCAAATTTTGTAATTCAATATTCTCGAATTGTACAAATGACCTCAAATGGAAAATGACCAAAAGCAAAGTTTTAGATCTTGATGAAATGTACAACTTTGTAGTTGACAACTTTTTATTAGAAATCATTTATGGGTTCAAATTTGTATTTGAAGTTCTAAATTTTTGAAACTCAAAATTTTCAAACAACCTCAGATGTTATTGATGAATTTTTCAATTGAAATCATTTAAGGTTCCAAAAGTATGGCTGAAGTTTTAACGATTTGAAATTCAAATTTATCAAACAACCTCATATGGTGAAATGAACAAAATTAAACTTGTAGATCTTGATTAGAACAACAAATTTATAGTTTATATGAATTTTTCATCAAAAGTCGTTTAGGGTTCTAAATATTTATTTTAAAATTCTAAAAAGTGAATATTAGAGGAATTGATATGGAATATAGACACAGTGTGACTTAGGTGGAGTTGTTAGACGAGCTACGCGTGAGGATAAAGGGCCTCCCTAACGCCCGCGCCACCGCCCCGGGGCCTCCCCGACTCCAAGCCGTCGCCGCGCCGCCGCCGCCCCGACGGGCTCTCCGCCGCCCGCAACGCCGCCGCCCCAAGGGGCTCCTCGACGCCCGCTCCGCCGCCGCCCTGAGGGGCTCCTCCTTGACGCCCGCGCTGCCGCCCTGAGCGGCTCGTCGACGTCCGCGCGGCCCCAAGGGCTTCCCGCCGCCCGCGTTTCTCAGGTGTCTCTCTCTCTCTCTCTCCCAACCTCCCTCTCAGATCTGCTGTCTCTTTCCTTTCCTGAATGGATCTATTTTCACAATTGCATAAAACGATGCGGTTAATGCACGCTGGTGGCAAATTTGGAGGTTCAAAGAGTGGTTACAGTGTCTCTGGAGGGCTTCATGGTGTTGGTTTATCAGTTGTTAATGCTTTATCAGAGGTTTGTATTTTGATCTCTTACTAGTTCTAAAAATAAAATAAGAGAAGTTCTATAGTTAAAGATGATTTGCTGGGTGATTGCAAAGTTAGTTGAACTTGCTATTAGGTTTGCATATTCAAGTTTATCTTTTTTGAAGATAGTATTCTGGTAGCTTCATTTTCTCTAGTGTGCAGAGCCTTACTAGCTCCCAAGTCTAGACAACAATAATCGAGAAGTAATATTACAGAAGAGATTTCTGTCCCTATGTTGATACCTGGTCCAACTTCATCAGAATTGATTTAACTGTTCCTTTTATTTGTTTTCATTTCATAACCGCATTTAAGTGACATGTACTATGATGCATGACTGACATCTTTTTGGCAGTTTTAAGGCACTTTGAAATAGGGAAAAAATATACTTGCCCATTTACCTTGTTTATAGACTATCCTTCGTGATACTTAGGAGTTTCAATTTGTCTGTTTCATTCAACTTGTGGCATCCATCTTTGGCAATTTTAAAGCCCATTTTAGCTTGCTAGGTTGGTGATCTGTGAAGTTACAGTATCGATTGCACTGTGAAGACTAGAGTTGGTGGATTTAAATTTTGGCAGTTTTTCGCTTGTGCTTGATGGATTTGTACAGTTGGGCTACATTGTTTCATACTAACATTTAGCATATTCTTTTGTAGGACACATGGAAGACTAAAGTTGCATATCTACTTCTGATGGAAGGTACATGTCTATACGACATGGTAAAAGTGTTACTGAATTATAAAATCCTACCAGAAAAATTCTTCAATATTTTAATTTCCTTTTAACCCTGTGTACAATTAGCTGTTTGCTTGCCTTCTTGTCATTATTGGCATTTTATACTGTACAAAATGTGATAGTCTGAAGATAGATGCCTGATTTTGTGAGGCATTTTTTTATTCTATTCCTTTAATTGATCTCTAAAGTTTTGTTTTCCTTGCTTGCTACAGCTAGTTACAGCCATTCTTTGTTTAACAGGCAGCCCATCATGAAGATATAATTAGCATTATTCATGGCATGTATACAAAGGATGGATTATCTCTTGATGAAGCATCAAGAATAGTATATGCATTTCCAAACCAAACCAGTAAGTGTACATATTCCTTTCGGGCAGTTGACAGTTATTTAAAAACTTTGCAGGTAAATATACAGCAAGTCTGCAATCCAAACTTCAGCAGTAGAAAATATTTTACTTAATAGAAAAGAGTACAGGAAACACATGTTGGGCTATTATGCTTTACCTGAACTAGAGTTACCTGAACTAGAGGTAAATATACAGCAAGTCTGCAATTCCAATGAACCATTCCAAACAAGTTTTGAAAGTCGTCGACGAACACATGTTGTGACTATTATGCCTTACCTGAACTAGAGTTACCTGAACTAGAGGCGGAATTGACTCAATACAGGCAGCATAAAATAAGTCTGCAATTCCAGGAAAGGTTTTTTTTGCATTTGGTACATGAACCTTATTCCAAATCCCATAATTCAACTCCATTTGCCCAGCCGTCCTCCTCCACTCCTCCCGGTCTCACCTCCTAGCCTCTCAAGGGCCTCCCGCCGACCAACTCCCCCGCCGCCTCCCGGCGGTCAGAAAACAAAGAATCCAACTATTGTCCTTTCTCCCTTTATACTCTTCTGCGTGATCTAAAATTTGAAGTATGAATCTGTGAATTGCTGTAGTACTACATGTATATATCATGATTTCTGCTATATAAATATATATATTATATATTATACTAAATTGGCAAAACGCCTAGCAAAACGCATAGCATCGCCTAGACTAGCCTAGGCTGGACTAGTCGCTAGGCTAGGGGTCATCGCCTAGATTTTGCCTAGCGCCTAGAAAAACTTAGATTCCAAATCCCATAATTCAACTCCATTTGTCCAGCCAGAATTTACAAACTAGAGTTATGACAAGTAGAAAACAAAGAATCCAACTATTGTTTCTTATATATCTTCCAGGATCATTGCAAATATAGGGAATAAAAGCACTTCTTGCTTCATACTAACATCTGCCATATTCTACTTCTGATGGAAGGTATATGTCTATTTTAAATAGTATCCCGTGATAATTTTCCTTCCAGCTTGTACTTCTTGTAGGTAACTTGGCTATCCTGTGCTGAAACGGCGTTTCTACTTTGGTGTAGTTAAATATGTATAGTGAAAAATAGCTTGGAGTTGCAGTGTACTGAACTTTGTAATCTTAGTATGTTAGCTGTCATGTTCCTTGTGTGGTGAACAATGAATTTGTAATGAGAAGTGCAGTATATACAGTGTACTGAACTTGTAATCTTAACTTAGTATAGAAGAAGCTGTCATGTTCCTTGTGTGGTGACCAATGAATTTGTAATGAGAAGGGCAGTCTGGATTTGGTTGGCTTGAGAAACCGTGATTAATTATATGGTTGTGATCATTTGTGTCAAAGTGAATGTCTATTATGATTTGAGTGGCACTATAATATTATAGTGCACAAATATTAGTTATATTGGTGGTAATACAGATAGATCTGGTACAGTCAGTTCCTGACGACCTGATTACCTTTTCCTGACGGATTGTAACGATAGGAAAAAATGCAGGATTCCTGACGGCTGGCCGACAGGAATGCTGGGACTTTTCCTGTCGGTTTTCGGCCGTCAGGAAAAACCTGTAGCCTGGTACTAGTACTCGCGAACTAGTCAATTGTGCGTGAAGAGACGGATGTCCTCCCTCCAGATCTATCAATATCATCCGTCACTCCCCTGCCGCACCACGTACGCCACACGCCGTACCCTATGTGCGACACCCGCTCATCACCTTACAGGTGTCCTGCTTGCTCTATCTGATGGTTGAGATTCACAGCCGGAAATAAATGCGGGCTCGGCCTCAACCGCACGTCACTGGTGCCTGCCTCCCATGGCGGGCTTGGAGACACGTGTCAAGCATTTATTGGATGTCGCACACAGGAGCGGTATCGCATGGAATCTATTTGCCCATCCGCATGAAAGTGGACCAGTGGGAGACCAGGAACAGAGCCGAGGTCCGTTGTACGCGCCAACACAACCTGCAACTAGATTTTTTTTCTTTTATGAGCAAAAATCTGCTCCTAGATTGAACCCACCGGTTAAGAGCGGGCCGGCCCAAGGCCCAAACTCCTAAAGGCCAGAAGAACCTGTTGACTTTTGACCCCGGTCCAGCGAGGGGCCGCTCCGCCTCCGCTAGCGGCGCTCGTTCCCCGGCCGCCTCAACCACCACCAAGCAGATCCCAATCCTCCCGGCCGCCTCGCGGCCTCCCGCACCGCAGTCGGCGACACGGTGGCATTCCATCCTCCCCGCCGCATCATGGCGTCCGTTTCGTCCGCTGCGGATACCGCCGCGTCGGCCAACAGATCGAGCCATCGAGGTCACATCGGCGAAGGTGCTCGTCTGCTCGACAAGGCATCTCACTTCTCACTCCTGTGTCCAGGCCGAGGCGAAGGGATGCAGCAGCCACCGCTGATGGCCCCGACCGCCGCAACCACCACCAAGCAGATCCAAAAGGTGCCTCCTTTCGCATTCACTTTCTCCCTTCCTCGATCTTGATAGGATATGCTGTACTTCCACTAACCCCACATATATATAGATGCTGTGATGTGCACTTTTGACTGCAAGAGTGCTAGAAATCATGTAATTTGCAGCCCACAGTCAGCTGTGCCTGTGCTGATGACTAAAAAGTGTACTATACTGCAGCTGAGCAACAGAGTTTCTGATGATCCTCAATATTTCATCTAGTGTCATTTTTAGTGGAATGATTCTGTACTGTACATATGATGAATACCCATGATACCCTCTACAGATATCCTGGCCTGAGATTGTGTCATGTTTTTTTTTAAAAAAAAAAGATGACATCTGTGATGGTTCATACATGCTTACATTCTTGAAACCTAGGCCACTTCCCATCATTTTGTATTATGTTGTCCATCTATTAGCTACTGCAAATATATTTCATTTAGTGTTGGCCTTGCATGTAACTTTGATGAATGGAATCCTAATATGATTGCTCTTCTTAGAACCTGTAACATATGAGAGCAAAAGTGCACTTCTAAAAGTGTTGCTTTGCAACTGAGAGAAAACCAGTTGCAACTGGAAATACCAAATCAAGGGAGGGCATCAAGATTTACGTGAAATACCCAGAACCTACTAATAATCATGGCATCTAATAAGATATGTTAAATCAAGCTTTTAAACCTGATGCAGCAACATGTTTAATCAAACCCTGCATGCTATGCTTGTGGAGTCTTTATTTTCAGTTTCCAAACATAGCAGGGAGTTGAGGTACCCATAATGTGATAGATGCAGTTCCATTTTCTGTATATTTGAGGGGTCATTTCTAATATCCTGCTATGTCGAGGACTCTTTAGAAGAGCACTCAAACCATCCCAAAGTGGCAGCCGTGCCCCCCCCCCTCCTACACAGTGAACTCATTTGCTTGTTGAGAGAAGAAACAGAGAAAAAGAGAGCTAGGGTTAGGGAGGTTGAGAGAGAGAGCTTTGATCCACCAAATCCACCACTACAAGAGAGAGATTTGTGGGGAATTTGGAGCCTCTCCTCATTTGTTGGCTCACACCTCGTCTATTGCTTCATCTCATAGTCGATTTATCTCGTCGTCATCCGTGGTTGTTCTCCGCAAGGGGTTTTCACGTAAATCTTGATGCCCTCCCTTGATTTGGTATTTCCCTTGTCATATGTGTTGATTAAGTCACCATCTTGCTTGCTATTGTTCCATATGTGAAGTGGTTGCTTGAATCAATGAGTTAGCATGGAAAGCATACGTGTGTTCCTTGATATATTTTAAAGTCCCCGCCTATAACACCTATCCTATATAAATTATTAAGAAAATAACATAATTGATTTAGTCTCTATGTCTGAGATATGGTCACTTAATTAGTATATGTAGTCAAAACATTTCGGTAAATTATCTAGCTAGAAATAAATATAATTACTGCTCTAATTAATCGCAACCTAAATGCACCTCATTATAGTGGTGATGAAATTGCATACGTTGACCTCTAGTCTGGTTCCAATTCTATTCACCACACAAAGGACATGACCTTTCCACGCGGTTCCATAGCAAAACCTGTATACTTGTACACAGTTGCCATCAGGTTGCACTGGTTAGTCAGTCATTATTTTGACTGAAGTGCAGAAAATTAAAAAGTTGGACCACGATCACTTAGAATCACTATAAAAATTCCACAAGTAACAATACCCTTCTTCAGTCTTCAACACAAAGACGAACTCATTGTCTTTCCCACCATGCATTCTGCTGTAAAGCTCCTCCACCACGTCTTGGCTGCTACGTTCCTGACATCCAATGTGCTGCAGCTTCGGCCAACCGGAGGTGCAGCTGCAGCTGGTGCAAGCTGCATACCGCACGAACGGGACGCCTTGCTGGCCTTTAAACATGGCATCAGCAGCGATCCCATGAACCTCCTTGCCACTTGCAGAATGACGGAGACTGCTGCTGGTGGAGAGGCATTCGGTGCAGCAACCGGACTGGCCATGTCCTCAAGCTTCAACTTCGTAATGTCAACGTGCCATCTTCAGACTTGTACTCTGATGATCTTTTCAGAAACACAGCGTTGGTCGGCCAGATAAGTCATTCCTTGGGCTCTCGCTGGATAAACTTTTTTTGAAACCTCTCGCTGGATAAACTGGTCCACCTTGATCTCAGCATGAACAACCTTACCGGCTCGAGTGGCCAAATACCAGATTTTGTGGGTTCTTTGGTGAACTTGAGATATCTCAACCTCTCCAGCATACCATTCACTGGTAGAGTGCCACACCACCTTGGTAACCTGTCAAAGTTGAAGTATTTTGATCTCTCCCTCTTGCGTTTTCGGGGTCAACCATACTCAACAGACATTTCATGGTTAGCTGGCCTATCTTTGTTGGAGTATCTTGACATGAGCATGGTTAACCTCAAGCACAATTGTTGATTGGCCTCATGTGGTCAACATGATTCCTTCCATGAAGGTCCTCCGTCTTAATTTTTGTTTGCTTCTAAGTGCAAACCAATCACTCCCACATATTAACCTTACAAATCTTGAAAGGCTTGATCTGTCTGGTAATATTTTTGACCATCCAATGGCATCCAGCTGGCTTTGGAATTTGACAGGCCTCCAATATATCAGTCTTGAGTTCAATTATTTTTATGGTCAAGTTCCTGATGCACTAGGGGATATGACGTCTCTCCAAGTCCTTGATTTGTCAGGTAATCAGAACATGGGTATTATGACAACAAGCTTGAAGAAACTCTGCAACCTCACCGTCCTAGACCTCAGCTTTTGTTTTTCTAATGGAAATATTAAGGAATTGCTAGAGCGGATGCCACAATGCTACGTGAACAAACTGCAGGAATTGCATCTGGAATATAATAATATTACTGGAATGATACCAAGTCAAATGTCACATTTGACCAGCTTTGTTGTTTTTGACATGTCTGAGAACAATCTAACTGGAGTCACCATCAGTGGTGGGGCAGCTTGCTAGTTTAAACACCCTAGACCTCTCTGGCAACTACCTTTCTGGACATGTACCATCCGAGATTGGTATGCTTGCTAATTTAACTTTTCTAGACCTTGGATCCAATAAATTGAATGGCAGTAACACTTTGCGAGATTGGCAAAATTGAAGCACCTATCCTTATCTGGAAATTCCTTGAACTTTACAGTTTCCTCCAAATGGTTCCCTCCATTTAGTTTAGAAGAAGCAAATCTGTACAACTGCCAAATAGGTCCTCGGTTTCCTACTTGGCTTCGGTTTCAGGTGAATATTCTTAGGGTAGATATCCCAAGCACAGGTCTTGCCGATAAGATTCCATACTGGTTCAGTACTACATTCTCAAAGGCCACCTATTTGGACATCTCCCATAATCAAATCAATGGAAGATTGCCAAAAACATGGAATTTATGTCCTTGGAATATTTCTATCTTAATTCAAATAATTTAACTGGTGAAATTCCATTGTTACCAAGAAATATTAGCATGTTGGACCTCTCTCTAAACTCTTTATCTGGAAACCTACCAACAAAGTTCAGAACTCTGCAACTAGTATCTCTAAATTTGTTCTCGAATCACATCACTGGTGGTCTTCCCGGATCGATTTGTGAAGCGCAATGGTTATATGAACTGTATTTAGGTAACAATCTTTTTGAGGGTGAGCTTCCTCGATGTTTTAATGCTACAAACCTCAGGTTTCTACTATTAGGCAATAATAGTTTCTCAGGTGATTTCCCAGTGTTCCTTCAAAACAGCAAGCGATTAGAGTTCATAGACTTATCGCGAAATAAGTTCTCTGGAAATTTACCACACTGGATTGGAGGTTTGGTCGAACTCCGGTTCCTACGTTTAAGCGAGAACATGTTCTCTGGAAATATTCCAATGAGCATCACAAATCTTACCCACCTTCATCATTTGAATCTAGCCAGCAACAGGTTGTCAGGTGTTATACCCTGGGGTATGTCAAATCTTACAGCTATGACACAAAAATATGTGAAGGACCCTTCTATTGACGAAGATGCTTATGCAGCCTATGAAACGTTGAACCGTGACATCGGACAGCACTTCTCTGCGGTCACCAAGGGGCAACAACTGTGTTACGATGTCAGAATTTTTGAATTGGTGAGCATTGACCTATCATTCAACCACTTATCTGGTGGAATTCCGGAAGAAATAGGTTCTCTTGATGCACTATTCAATTTCAATCTATCAAGAAACAATTTAAGTGAAGAAACTCCAGACAAGATTGGGCCATGAATTGTAAAGTAATCTACTGCTCTCCCGTGAACGTGCGGCATAGGGGCAGGCGCCGAAAGGGCTCCCCTTTTGCTGCACTGTAGCCGCGGCAGGGGCAGGCGCTGAAAGGCTCCCCTGCCGCACTGTAGCCACAGAAGGGCAGGCGCCAAAGTCAGCCCTGCTGTCACATCTAGTCACTGTAGCAACATGCAACCTAGCATGTGTGTACTAGGATTAGATGGGTAGAGTTGTATATATAGCTTCCCACTGCAACTCAGGGAAGGGAGTGAGTTCAGTTTTGCCATCTCCTCTGCAGAGTTTCGGCCAACGCTGGTGCTTGTGCTGTGTGTGTGCGTTCTGTTCTCCCTCCCTCTTCTACCTCTAGCTGTAGTGTGTGTGCGAGAACACCGGTGAGCGGTCGGCTCACCCGTGCGGGAGATATCGGGGCCAACAATGAAGTCACTTTTCTCACTGGACCTCTCAAACAACGTGCTTTCTGGGGAAATCCCTTCCAGCCTATCAGATCTATCAGAATTGAGCTATTTGGACTTGTCTAATAACAATTTAACAGGACCGGTACCATCTGGGCAGCAACTTGACACCCTCTTTGCAGAGTACCCGTCTATGTACAGTGGCAACAGTGGTCTATGTGGGCCTACTCTTCGAAAGATCTGTTCAGGAAACAATTCATCAAGGCAACTTGTCCATGAACATGGTTTTGAGCCAATGTCATTTTATTTTGGACTTGGTTTGGGATTTATATTGGGTTTTTGGCTTGTGTTTTGTGTCCTGTTGTTCAAGAAAGCATGGAGGGTTGCTTATTCCTGCCTCATTGACAAGATATACGATCAGATGTATGTGCTTGTGGTTGTTACATGGAAAAACTTGGCAAGGGAGTGATCTACTGCTGAAATATGAAAATTGAAAATCAAGCAATACTGAGCTCTGGACACTTGAGCCTTGAAGACATCAGACTGAAAAAGTATACATAGCAGCATCTTACGTTCTGATTTTTATTGTTGTATGAAGTTAATGTAGAGTGTACTGTATACAGTTGTTTATTGTTGTATAATAATTGTTCTATATTCCTGAACCCCTGATATATCTTGGTGTGAGCCCAGAGTATTGGTATTTGTCATTACAGATATTGTGAAAGTTGCTTGAGAGTCAACTCTGTCATGTAATAAAGGTGAATATGCCGGGTTCAGCCGTTCAGTTGTCAAGTGAGAGCAAGTAAATTTATTAATGTAAGCTATCACGATTCATGAGCTGCTTAACAATTCACTTTCTGCTTACATTTTGGCATAGAGCACACGTCTTTAACTTGTAAATTGTGATAATCAATATGTACATGCTTCTGAGGAATCAGAAATTCAGAATGCCCAGGATCATAGCCACTTGTGGTAACACAGTCATGGTGCAGTCCTTCCCTCCTTGGCATCCTTGTACATCTGATCGATGCGATCCTGCAACAAATTTGCTTTTTGATGAATAAACTTACAAACATTGCAAAACTTTTGTGTGAATTTAGATAATTCCCTCAAACCTTGTAATATTTGAGCAGCTGGGGTCTCTTGAGCTTAAAGGTTGGAGTGATGAGGTCCTTCTCGATGCTGAAAGGCACCGGCTCAAGGTAAATTGCTTTCAGCATCTCAAAGCCTCTCAACTGTATTCACAAAACAAGATTGAATAATTGTGTAGGAACCGTGGAAATAAATTGCTGCAATTAATCGCTTGCTAGCTCTGTCTTGTAGATCGAGCACCGACTTACCCCAAGTTTCTTGCCAGTTTGGTTCAGCTGATCCTGAATGTAACTCCTTGCTTTGGGATCAATGCACAACTTTGCAAAATCGCCGGCCACCTTGTTGGCTGCTGCCCATTCCTCGAGAGCTTGCGTCTCAGGGACAACCACGGCAACAAGGAATGACTCAAAGCTGTTCCCATAGACCCAGACCTGGTGCAGAGGAGCCATCCTCTAGGTAAGTTAAATCTGAGCATGAAAGTATTTCGGTTTAGGATTTTGTTGGTATTAGTCAGTGTACCGATGCCACAAGAGGTGACTGCATGTATGCTCTTTCTAGGACCTCAACTGCTACATACTCTCCCTGGGACAGCTTGAAGATGTTTTTCTTTCTGTCAATGATCTTCATCGAGCCATTGAGTTGCCACTCCCCAATATCACCTGCAAACATAAGGTGATTACAAGTTTAACAAATTAACCATCTTCACTAACTGATCATTCAGTTAGCTGCAAAAGAAGTGAGAAAATTTTTTTTTCACCTGTATGGAACCACCCATCTGAGAACACTTCTTCAGTGAGGCCAGGGCGCTTGTAGTACCCAGAGAACATGGTGTGGCCCCTCAAACAGATCTCACCCCGGGGCATGTCTGACAGTGCATCGTAGCCCATTTCAGGGATAGACTCCAGTCGTGCTTCGATTGTTGTGACAGGAGGGCCAACTGTTCCAATCATTGAGAAAACATTGGCGATTGACGTGAAGCATCCTGCACAACTCTCAGTGAGCCCTGCATATCAATATGATAAGTTAGAACACAAAGTTTGCAGGACCAGACTGTAAGTAGACTACTAGAGTTCTGTTAAGTAGTTTAAGAAACCCAATACTCCCTCAGATCCAAATTATAATTCTTTTGACTTTTTTGGCCCCAAGTTTGACCGCTCGTCTTATTCAAAAAATTTGCACAAACATAGTCAAGTTTAAGTCATTCTTGAAGAACTTTTGTTAATAAAGCAAGTCACAACAAAAGAAGTGATATTTAGCATAAATTTTGAATAAGATGAGTGGTCAAACTTTGGATAAAAAAGTCAAACGAACTATAATATGGAACGGATTTAGTACTAGTTTCAGCAGATGAACTATTGGTGTGCACTTTTATCCATAAAACTGAAGTGAGTCTTGGAAGATGTGTCTGAAGCTCTTACCATATCCTTGTACTACAACGCTGCAGCTGGTTACCCGCATGAACTCTTCGATTTGCCCTGGCAAAGGTGCTGCTCCTGCTATCATGAGGCGTATACGCCCTCCAAGCCCTTCCTTTATCTGTACTGACAACAATATAAATGTTCAGAGCTTTGTAAATAAAAGAAAAAATATATAAAGAGGTCCAACACTGTACACACTTTGCTGAAAACTATCTTGTCGAAAAATGGTGATGCTTCATGGTGCTTCAGCCCTTTCCTCATATTGGCAAGTTTGCTGTTGGCAAATGGACATTTATTTTATTACATTTGAAATGTAAGCATGCATGGAATTAAGCTTCTTTTCTTATTCAATCTTGTAGTACTACTTACTAGTTGTAGGCATACTGAAAAAGGTGTTTGGCTATTATCCCTCCGGACTGAATTTTCATGTTTATACCTTCAATTAATGAATCCACACATTATGACTAAGCATGGAATCATGATGGAATTGAGAATAATAAATTTATTCTGGGCTGCATTAAACCTGTATATATACGATCATAAACACGAGGAACACCACAAAATATTGTCGGTTTCATCACTTGTACATCCTCCATCAGATACCTAATGTCCTGTAAAAAAAAGTTTTACACCTCAGTAGGCATAACAGAACAGCCACCACAGTATTTAGAAGAAAATCAAAGAATTCTTTGAATTGCAACAGTTATTAGTTCGTACCCCTTGCCAGAATCCGATGGAGGCTCCTTTAGAAATACAGTAGTTCTCAATTACTTGATCAAATATATGTGCTAACGGAAGGTAGGAAAAATAGGAATCCTCTTCTGTGATCTGCATGAGTATTAATATGAGCAGTGTAACATTACTTTAACTAAAGAAATCAACTGAGGAAGAAACCATGATGAATTTTACAATACATGTTGATCACAGATGCCTTTGATGTAAAAAATGTGTGAAACTTCAGAAAAAATTAGTACCACAGATCTAATAGGTAATAGGCTTGATATTTGTGCAGATAGAAGTTGATTAGAGCTTACCACTTTATCTGTCTCTTTGAGGAGGTGTTCTGTGGTCATAACACCAGCAATGATAGCCCTGTTTGTGATTATCACGCCTTTGGGATCTCCAGTTGTTCCGCTGGTATACATGATCGTACAAATATCTTCCTTGCATTTCTTGGGAAGTTTGTAGTCTTGTTTTCCCTATCCAAACAGAACATTCCGACATTGTCATGGTATTTGTAATGAACTAGTAGTCCTCTAGGCACCCGTAAAGAGTTGTAGTAAGAAATCAGACTAACCATTGAAGAAAATTCTTCCCAAGAAAAGTCAAGAGACACCCAATTTCTCAGCTTCCATTTTCATCTCACTTGTAAAATCTCCAAAACTAACAATGGCTGAAGATGCACCGGGTCATAAATGATCATATAAAGTAGCAGATAGTCATATTAAGAAATCTGGTGTTCCTCAAGCTAACCTCTAAGGTGGGCTGTGCACTTAGGGACTACTGCTAGTATCTGTAAATACAATTTAACGAGTTGTCAGATGTAAACAGAATGTGATGTGTAGCATTGATCTCCAAAACTGATTTGAAATCAATAGCATTTACTGGGGACGTATTAATCAGTATAATGCAGAAACCAGAGGGTAATAGTATTGTTTGAAGGGGAAAATGTTTTGCTTACTGATTTGATCTTGCTCTCCTGGACAAAGGCAATGGATATCTCAGCATGGTCCATGATGAATTCAACAGCATTCGCTCCTGCATCGTGTTACACCTTAATCGTCAGAAAGACAATAGAATTTGATAAGCAGAAAATGAAGGACAAACTAAGCACGCTGTTGTGAGTTATTCATTCATTTGTAATATTTTTTCCAACATTTTTCCACTCTAAGATAAGATTGTTAATAAACACATCTTAACCATGTGCATAAATCTGAGTATTCCTGAATTCAGACATTCAAGCATTTATGTGTTTCAGTGACTGATGAAGTGGAGAACCTACCGAGGGTGTCATATAGTGGCACATAACATATTCCTTGACTGTTGCATGCCTGACGAAAAGAAGTTTGGATCAGATTACTCTAAAGAAGAATTCTGATAAAAAATAAAATAAAATAAAACGAGGTCACCTGCATGGCCATAACCCATTCCGGGCAGTTGGATCCATATATGCCACAGTGAGCTCCCTGCATATCGACTTGACGAATCAGTTCTCATACTTACATGCATTTTCAGGATGAAGATAAAATCTCAGCATAGACAGGGACATCAAACGAGACATTCTTCGCTCACCGGCTCTATGCCCAAGCTTCTGATGGCTGAACCAATCCTCACGACCTTCTGGTACACTTCCTCGTACGTTTGCCACACATACTCACCGGCCTATAAGAACAACAATGGAGTTGAATATCTGAAAGCAAAGGTAAAATTCCTGTGAAGATAAATCTGTAAAGATTCAGTTTTACCTTGCCATCTGTAATAACTTGCCGCCGGCCGAGCATCCTGTTCGTGGGGTACTTTTTGACTGCTCCACTACGAAACCACAAAACCAAAAACAAACTGAAATTTCGAACGACATTACATATTTGAAAAATCTCCGACCTTGTAATGTTAATGTACAACGGTACAACCCAAAGACTGGCATCAAGCTAAATATGGTAGCAGGTAGTCTGCTAGGAAAGGAAACCAAACCTGAAGAAGTCCCAGGGGGACTGGATGTCCTGTGGGAGCTCCATGAGGCCGTCCTTGGCGTAGATGCTCCGGTAGACGGACCCGGCCGACGGCCTGCCGCCGGCTGCCGGCGTAGCCTCCCCGACCTTCACGGTGAACGTCTCCGGCATGGACATCCTTCCTCTCCTCTCCTCTCCTCTGCACCGATGGGAATGAATGGGATTTGGGCACAGTGAGTGCAGTGTGGATGGATCTTTGAGCTCGCAGTCGCAGGCGGTGGAGATGGGAGGGCAGTTATGGTGGTGAAAGGTTGGTGGCCAATTTAAAGCTTGTGTTACTGCTATGCCGGTGCAGAGTGCAGACCTCACTGTGTGACTGTAGCAGTCTTGGAGTACATGCAGGTGGCATGACTGACAGTGTGTTGTCCTAATTCGGTGAAATCTGACGTGTTTTACCGACAAATTATGTTAAAAGAAACACGAGGGATGTCCTTGCCAGGTCAGCGCTACGACCATCTGGCATGGCACGCAACGCAATTGCTCTCCAGAAGTCCAGTCTTTAGTCCAGACTCCAGAAGCAGCAGGAGGAGAGACGTTTGGTGGTTAGACGGACGCGAAATGGCGGCAATTGAATGCGCGAGGCTCGCGGCGGGAAACAAATTATGACGTCAGAGGATATGTCGCCAACAGGCAACAGCTTAGGGCAGCATTCATACCCGCGATTTAATAACCGTTGCAGGAAAAATTCAATTCCTCTGACGTTTGAGCTTTAGGCAACAGCTTTGTCGGCTCTTGAAGTTCTTTATTTTTTTTATAATATATATAAACAAGGCTCCTGATCCTGAATTCCTGACGACGATACTCGTGCTCTTGTCTTTGAAGATGATCTTGAGCGTTTGAGCTTCGGGCAGATGGCCAAGGATGGGCCACTCTAGGCCGTGCGGAGACGAGATCGGCCTGCTTTTGATTCGCTCCTGTGCCCTGCCATTCTCTGTTGGCCCCTCATGCTGCCAACGCAGGCCCATTATTCCCCATGGTTGGCTCTCCTAGAGATCTCCTCCGGAAACCTTCGCTGCCGACCAGTCGGACCCGTGCCGCCTGCCGAACCCCCGCGATCCCGCACCGTGGCCACACGTTGTTGGCTTGAGAGCGGCCCACGCGTGTGTTTCATTTTTTTATCGTTTTTCTTTTCTCTTTTTTCTATAGTTGTTTATTCTTCTATCTTGTATGAAATATATGACGTTAATTTACGACTTGTTTTTCTTTGATACATGTCTGCACAGTTAGTTTTTCTTTTTTCTTTTTCTTTCTTATAGTTTCTTTCTTATAACTGTTTTTTTTCTTTGTTTCATGTTTATCTATTTTTACTTTTCTTTTATTTTTTATATTCTTTATTTTCTTTTCCTTATTCTTTTCTTTTGTATTTTTTTCTTATTCTTTTTCTTTTTTCCTTGCTTCCTTTTTTACCCATGTTCAAATTTTTAATCTTATTTCATTTCTTTATTCTTCCTTATTTTCTTCTTCTTTTTCCTTTATTTATGGATGTTTTCTTATTATTATTTTGTTGTCTTTTTTCATTTCTATCTATTTATTTTTGTATTTTCTTTCTTTATTATTTATTTTATTATTATTATTTTCCTAAATTTCATGTGATATATGTGTGATGTTTGATATTTTTGTGATATTCATATAGTATGTATGTGTGTTAGCATTTTCATAGTCATTTTTCAAAGGACTAGTCACTCAACTTGTCACGCCACTTGATCCTAGCGACGATGCAAAGTTAGATCACTCAAGTAGCACTAGATGACCGATATGCAAACAAGTTTGTCCCTCTTGATAGTATGGCCATCTATCCTAAACCCGGTCATCAACTTCTCTACACACCTATGACCGGTGAAATAAAATGCCCTAGGTTATACCTTTGCCTTGCGTATTCCATTTCATCTCCTCAAATGTCGACGCAACACATGCACCAACACGATCAACAATGATATGATCCACTTCATATCATCACATGATCATATTGGTTCATCGATCTCGACTTCACTTGCTTTTCACCGTTGCCTTCGTCCATCGGCGCCAAGTCTTGCTCAAGCTTCACCGCCACGAGGTCCACTCCAAAGCCTCCGACTTGCCCTTCACTCTTGCAACCGGTCCATCAAGCCAAGTCTTGTCTTGATCTTCTCCACCTTGATCACATGACTCAATGTCATGTCTCATGTGCAATAAGCTCCTTCATCATCACATGTATGAGCTTTGCAACATCTCCGAGCCATTTCAACCTTCATGGCATATGTTGCTCATACACATGTACCTATGGACTAATCACCTGTGTATCTCACATAATCACAATTAGTCCACCTAGGGTTGTCACTCAATTACCAAAACCACACAAGGACCTTTCAGATGCCCGTGGCGCTCGTGCGCCTAGGTACTGACCGCTTGCGGGCCCATCCCTTTCCATCCCTTACTCTAAGGGCGCCAAGAGCGGTTGTCGAACCCGTCGATGGACCAACCTTCGAACTCCTGGGCCCAGATGGGCCGTAGAGGTGTTTTTGATCCGTATTCCTCTTACTTGTGGTGAGTCGTGGCCTGTCCGGAGAGGCAAAATGTCCGCGAGTTTTCCGAGGGAATGGACAAAGATTGCGTGCGCACTTCCACGGTGAGACGTTGTGGCTGATCATGGTAGGCGTGGAGATCCAAGCGGGCGGCTGGTTTCCTCGCACCCATCGCCCCTATAAAACCAAAGGGTTTGCCCCCCCCGGGTTCCATACCTTGCATCCTTGCCTCCGCAGCCACGATCGCCGCCACCAATCACCTAGGGTTCCCCGTCTCCGCATCCCCACCGCCGTCGAGCCCGCATCCAACCGTCCCCACCTTCAATGGATTCATGGTGCCGTTCTGACATCACCTTCCAGCGCATGGAGGGCCTCGTCCATCGTGGTCTTCTCCGTGTGCAGACCTCGACCGAGGAGTGGCTACTACCTAGCGAGGAGGATCTGCCGTCGCCACCTGATAACTACGTGGTGTCGTTCGCCCACTTCTATGAGCGTGGGTTCATGACCCCCGCCCATAGATTTCTTCGGGGGTTGCTGCACTACTACAAGATCGAGCTGCAACACCTCAATCCCAACGGGATCTAGCACATGGTGGCGTTTGTCGCCCTGTACGAGGGATTCCTAGGGATCGGCCCCCACTTTAATCTGTGGAGGTACTTCTTTGCCGTCACCCTCCAGAAGAAGAGGGAGAAGAGCGGCAGGCAGGAACTGCACATGCTGATGGGGTGCGTCGACATCCAACTCCGAAACAATCGGGTCGACGAGTACCCACCGACGTGGCTGTCAACGTCCAACAAGGGGTGGCATTCGTAATGGTTCTACCTCAAGAACGCCGCCGCCGCCCCTCTGCTGGAGTTCACCGGCCGCCTGATCGAAGAGGCCCTAGAGTCGTGGAGGAAGTGGGGCGTTCTAGAGAAGGACAAGAAGAAGACCCGATACCACATTGCTGCCATCCACATCCTGAAGGAGAGTGGCCTAAAGGGGTTGGGCGTCATCAGGGCCTACCATGCAAGGAGGGTGGTGCCGTTGATGATGCACGCGCTCCCACTGTACGTGATGGCGCCCGAGGCATCGTTTGATGGAACGGTGCTTACTGAGGGAGTGCTCCCCCACTCCGAGGTCGTGCGACGCATTAAGGAGGCGATGGAGCCTTCACGGGACGATGCGGGTGGCCCCCTTGACTTCGTCTACCCGGTGCCAGGACATCCTCCGATGCGGCTGAAACCAGGCCATGTCGTCTTCGTAAGTTTCCCCTCCTCATACCTCCTCTTCAATTGATTTCCCGACCCCTTGATACTAACTTTGAGAGGGATGGGACCAGCCGAGGGACCTCATATTCATGGATCACCTAGCACCATTGTCGAGGGATTCATTCTTGAGGGCGGTGAATCACGCCGAGGGCTAGCGACCGAGGAAGACGAAGGAGGACAAGAGGAAGAAGAAGCAACAGAAGCTGCAGGCATGGGAGCGAAGGGAGGACACCAACAACGACGGTGATGATGATGATGATGATGGAGACGATGACGAGGTAGTCGATGGCATCAAGTGGGATGACCTAAAGAATGAGGATGTGCTGACAGGTATCGGATTCGTCCTTGTAGGAGTCGGGACCCTTCCCATTCCATGGAGGGGAGGGCACGTCCGGGGAGCTGGTGGAGACGGGTTGTACTGTCGGCCTGCCCTAGGAGCCAACAGGGGCAAGTGTCCCTACCACCACGCCGAGGTGCTAGCGGAGCCGGGTGGCTCCGCCGTCGCGCCCCAAGATCTAAGGGGAGCGAGCCCCTCTGCTCAGGAGCAGGGGGTGGGCTCAAAATGGCCTCGCCCCGATGAGGCAGAGCAGAGGTCGGGGTTCTCCCCCAAATGTATCTGTCGTCCGACGGCGCTGAGGTGAGTCATCAGCTCCTCTGTTTTTCCCTATTTTGGTCGGATTTCACCATGACTTATGTTTTTTGTCTCTTGTAGCGTCGGGAGGCAGCGTAATCCTTTGGCACTAGAGCCAAAGAAGAGCATCGCCCTTCAAATGAGGCGGAAGCCATCGGCTGGCGCTGCGCCCATTTTGGGGGAGAGCGGCAACGCGACTACGTCTCTGGTCGGACAGGCGCTGCCCAAGGTGGCATCCGTGCCCTCAGCAGGACGGGTGGACGTGGGGGCTCAAGTGGCACCTTCGGAGGTGATAGAGCAGCTGGCGATGGCGGCGATACCGCTATTAGCGACGGGGCGGATAGGGCTGCCGACCGCGCTCATGGCACCGACCATGGTAGGCGTGACGTAGCTGGTCGGGACCCCGTCAACGCAGGTGGAGGCGGCGGCGGCTATGATAGGCGGGCCATAGCCGGACACAACCGTGGTGGCATATGAGGCACTGGCACGACCCACACCATCGACGGCCCAAGCGGCGGTGCCTGGCATGGGATGGACGGAGGGGGACACTATCGAGGGGTCCTCAGACGTTGTGGTGGTGGCAGAGAGGTCGGTGGCGCTTGGGACCAGCAGGGAGTTGTCCCTGGCGCTGACGTTGATAGGCAATGACTCGCCCACTCGGGGCAAGCCCCTGCTCCGGTGGACAAATCCACAGGATCCAGCGTCGGTGCTCTTCAGTCTTGATGATGTCGCTGA